CATAAATAGGAGTTTGTTAAGAACTCAGGATTAAGATCATTCTATATATGTCTATCGGTAGACTCAATTAGAATTTCTATGCTTAACGGAAATTATTAGAAATTCATATTGTGTCTGCGTCCATGTTCCACATAATCTCATTATGCGAAATACACTCATTCAATATCTCGTCATATTAACAGTGCGGATAACACCGTTCCATTCTAAATGGGAATGACATGTATTAATAATGTTTTAATTAAAGATTCTGAACTTTAATTAAATTCATCATGAACAATATTTTTTATTATTATCCTTAAACACTATCCTCTCGTATATAACACTTATATACTATGTTTAGGGTTACATAAACAATCACATAATTTTCATTTGATATTCATAAAATATTCATAAATATATGCACATAAAATGATGAATAAACTCTTTTATTAATTAAATAATAAATATCCTATTACATCTCATGCTTCCAGGACACTATTCCCAACAGTAAGTTCATCAAATTTGTAATTCGTCCCACAATGATTGCACTCTTTTTTCCTTACCAAGTTTTTATCCCAATTGGGTTTTTCTTGGTAAGGTTTTTAATGAGGCAATCATGAATTACAAATTTAAAAATCAATGAAGAAGTAATTTTTTTTATATAGTTCGCTCGTGTGTTCAGTGTTCATTTCATATTTCAAATTGTAATATACACATTGTAATTATACAAATACTTATTTCAACAACATAAACATATAATATAAAAAAAAAATCGGGCAGCCGGTCGGGCATCGGGCAGCCCGACCGGGCACGGGTAGGCATCCTCTGCCCGAAGCCCGTTCATGGTAATTTTTGGGTCGGGTCGGGCAGCCTGAAAATTCGGGCAGATCGGGTTCGGTCATCGGGCAAAAATTCAGACTTTTCGGTGGTCACGGGCGGCCCGTCTAAAGTTTCAGCACTAGATAAAACTTATGATTTTAGCTTGTTTAATATTAGTTATGGAGTAGTTGTTATTTCTAGAGCTTGATTTTGCCTAATTATGAAGTGTTGATTTATTTTAAGTGATTTTTCTTAGTTTATTTATGTTGTTTCATTCTTAATGCTTCTAATTTATTAGAAAATAGATTATGATTTGATGTACGAGTTAGACATTCGGGAGAGGTAATTTATACTTCCAATTTGGATAACACAATTTAGGTTTTTAGGCTTCGTTTGGTGTGAAGGTTCAAACCAGGGCCATTATAGTTTTGATTTTGAAACAAGAACCATGATTCATGATTTTGAGTCCAAAGCGTGGTTCTAGAACCAGAAGAATTAGGGATTTGAACCATCCAAAACTAAGGGAGGGGGTAGTTTTAGAGCCATGAGTGATTATGGTTTAAAACATCATATTAAGGTTCAAACCTTGAACCATAACCATGCAAACCAAACACTGATTTTGTTGAATCAAACTAAAACCACTTTTGACTTATTATAAACAAATACTGATTTAAACTAGAACTATGATTCTGGTTCTAGAATCCTCATACCAAACGTCTCCTTAGAGTTCGGGAGACCTAAAATACCTTCGTAATCATTAGAAGAACTAGAGTTTAACGAATATTTAAACTACTCAATTTTTAATAGGGATATTGGAATCAGGTTTTGAGCATATTATCCAATTTGACATTTGGGATAGGTAATTAGGTTAATTAAGAGTTCTTGACTAATAAATTAGGAGATTTACTTAGTAATAAATTAGCGTAGATTAATTATGGTGAAATTGATGCTCTAGTATTTTTATGACTTGTTTTGTCACTTTATTTTAATTGCTTAGTTGTTTTTATTACTTCTTTTTATTCATTACTTATTCTGGTAATTCAAATAATCTTAGAGCCGATCAATTTCAATAATTAATAAAAATTAAATACATTTCTCGTGGGATCGACATTCTTATTCACACTTTATTACTTGAAGCGACTCGTGCACTTACGAGCATAAATTCTTGCATCATCTAACATCATTTGTACAAAATATCTAATACTCAATTTACGCTTACATATTCTTATTATGCTAAATAAATGTCATATTATGTTAAATAATAGCTGTTATGTTAAATAAATATCATGTTATGCTTTTAATTTTACATATTATGATGATAGGACAGTCATATTGGTGGGACCATGAAAAAATGCCTACACATATGAGAAATTTAGGTGAATGCCCTCCATAAAAGTTGGCTTTAAGAAAATGCCTCTCATCTAATTCACTCCCCATTTTTTCTTTTTTTGTTTATTTAAAATCTGATGTGGCAAGTGGAATTACTAGTTTACCCTCATTGCTAACAATTCTTAATCCATTTAGGACAAAATTTTTCCCTCTTTCTTTCGTTTCCTCTGTCTCTATACGCACAAGGGATTCTCCACGCACAGGCCCCTCGACTTCTCCTTCTCCAGCCCAGCCCTCAATTCTACCCATCTTTACCGCCGGCCACCACCGCTGCACCGCCCACTCCCGCCGGCCACTACCACCGCGACGCCAGTATCACCCACGGCCACTCACGGACGAGGACGAGTTTCACGCCAAGTGAGAGTTTTTTTTTCTTATTTTATGAAATTTGTTGGCGTTTCTATGGCATTGCTTCTTTCGATTGGACTTTGGTTTCGGCAGTTACTTTGGTTGTTTATAATTCATATGTTTTTTCTTAGAGAAAGTTGCTTCGGGTATTTTGATTATCAAACATAACACAGACTTGTATTGGACATCTTAAATGTTATAAATTATGAGAAATTTTCTTGTTGACTGTTGAGTTTAAGTTTAGTTTCTATTTCCCTCGTATTTTGATCTATGACTATTTAAGAAATATGGTAATTTTTCTAAGTATTTGTATTGGGGAAACCGACTTTCTGCCAATTTAAAGTACCAATTGCCAAGATTGTCTTTATTTAGTGCTCATCTCTGGTGCTCCAAGCTCATAATAGTAATTGTATGCGTTCAGAGTGTGTACAAGTCTGATCAACGTTTCTCAATACGTCACCTATAATAGAAGTAGGAAAATGAGAGCAGAATTTCTTTTTGATCTTTTTCTTTCCTTTTATTGATCATATATATTGTATATTGATGCTTTCTCGTTACCATCCATTTACTCGCTAGTGAGTTAGTGTACTTAAAATTGTTACTTTTATTAATAGACAGGGATGTATACAACTTTGATTTGATAAACAGGGAAACTTTTTGGTTTGATTTGTCATGTTAATGGTCTCTACTATTTTGATTAGTTTTGTCCTAATGTACTTTTTACCTAAGAACTTGAAGTAGGCCAAGTAGAACTAATGGCGAGACTTTTTTGTCTTGTGGCTATAAAATGTATAGTTTATTTTTTACCGTTTTCAGCGAACTATAGTGGGCGTTTGGTTCATAGATTCAGAACCATGTTTTAAAATCATTATCGGTTTACGTGTATTTTTTTTAAAAGAAAATACTGTAGTAAGCCACGAACCATGATTCAAACTATAACATGAATCCTCATACTAAACACCCACTCCGCCGAGTGTTTTACAGTTGAGATCCATTGATTTTACCTCAGTGTCACCCACTCCGCTGGCTGCCGGCCTTTGTACTTGTCATCATGCCCAGTCTCGCCGGCTGCCGCCATGCCGGTACCATGTAGAAGGCCGAATTTCCTTTTCAGGTTAGTATTTTTTTCTTTCTTTTTTTCTATTTAATGAAATTTGTTGAACTATGAATGCTTTTTCAAGTTTCTTGTTTGTTTAGTCATTGTAATATTCTTTTAATGCAATTTCATTTCAGTATTTTTGCTTAAATTCACATAGATGGTTGGTCAAAATCATGAATCCTAATAGCAGGATACAATATGCTTGCTAGTTGATTTTTGTTAACCAGACACAACAAATGGCTAATTGAAATACAATGTTTTTTGGTCTTTCATTTTAATTTGAAATATTTGTTGTGGCTTGCTCTTGACAAAGAAGTGAAGAAGCTTTCTGTTGAGAAATAAACTGTCTTAATGGCCACCATGATTTTTTTTTTATTTTTTTTTATTGAACCCTCATAATGTTTTCAAGTAATGAGATTTGGATTGGTTAATATATAGCCCCTATATTTCAAGGGGGACTGGTCAATCTGTTTGATGGAGTTGCTTTATGTATACTTAACCGAGCCATGAAGAAACGTTACCTATGGAAGCATCCCATCGGAGGAAACACGGTGGCAACGGTGGAGGACGAGGAGAAGGCAATGGGAGAGGTACTTTTTCATTCCAAAATCTGCTTTAGTTTTTTTTTTTTTTTTTTTTTTTTTTTTTTTTTTTTTTTTTTTGGTTAGGGCTATAAGCATGTTTAGTTTATTTTCAACCTTTTTTCGACAAGCTCTATTGTTTTACAGTTGAGCTGTACCATTTCACAGTTGAGATCTATTGGCGATGTTTAGAATTGATCATGTTTTTGTTTTTCACTTTTTTGAGAAAGAAAAAATAAAAACGTTTTTAAAACAACGTTTGGCTCAATAAAAACAAAAAATGAAAATAAAAACGATTTTTTAGTTTTGTGTAAAATGAGAGAAATAAAAAACGACTTTTAGTCATTTTTCATTTTTTGTTTTCGTTTTCTCCTATCTCGAGCACAGAGAGAAAAAGAGACATTAATGAGTTTTTTTAACACTGAAAACAATCTTTTGATAAAATTACCAAACACATTTTCAAAAATGATTTCATTCTGAGATTGAAAACGTTTTCATTTTCATTTTCATACAAAAAATAAAATTATTTCAGAACGAGTTCCAAACGCGTCCATTGTTTTTATAATATTTAACTAGATTTAAGTTTGAGTTTTTGGCTTACTCAATTATATGGCTGCTTAAGTAAATTTGTCATTTGCAGGCTATGGCTTCGCCTGAGTCGTCGCTCCAACCTCAATCAGCAAGAGCTAAAGCGTTTTTGGGACACCCAATTTGTATTATTTTTGACGATTGAGACCTTAAGAAATATTTGTATTATTACTTTTGATATTTCTATACATACTATTAAGTTGATAGATATTATAATCTCTGTGAACTCTTTAGGTAAGGAATGTTGTCGTATTGGTATTTTGAGAATGTAAACAATCTGATAAATTTAAAAATTTGTCTGCAAGGTAGAGATGTTTTGCCATGCAGTAGATATGCAGTTTAATTCACAAGCTCGCCTATACAGTAGATATTGTCTACCAGACAGTAGACCTTTGTGCAATATATATCTACTAGAGTATCTCGACTAGTCAGTTGAGTGAATTTTTATTTGCTTTTTTTAGTTAAAAAAACTTGGTTAAACTTAATTTTTCTTCCATAATATTACTAATTAATTGGTCGCATTGATCGTTATGAAATTACATTAAAAAAAAAACCAACTTAATGCCCTAGTACTTAAGGGGATCATTGTTGCTCCTCACTTTTGTAAGCTACATTATTCGTTATCCATCAAAATACGGTGAATTTTTGAGAATTCTAATTTGGTAAACGAAATAATAACTTTAGCCTTTTAAATGTAAGCACTAGTAATTAAGGTACAAAACATTTTTTAATAAATTAAAATACATTATTAATTAAATTTATAACGGGCTCGACTGCACGGTAGAACTGAATAACAAAATTATCTCCTGTAGAGAGATTGTATACTTTGTTAACTAGTAAGTAGAGTATCTCGACTCATCAACAGAATTGAGTTTAATGGGTTTCTACTGCACAGTAAAGCATCTCTACCGTGCAGTAGAATTTGTCGTTCAAGTTTATTCTTCTATCTTTTTCAAGCATTCTTCTATAATTTAAAAGTTTTAAGTACAAAATGGGCAAGGTACTATTGAAAAATCACAAATAATGTTCAAAAACTATAACAAAGTGTCTAAAATTTTTTAAAAAATAAATAAATAAAGAAGAGATCATTTTTCTCAATCAATACTTGCATCCTTGTTATTATTTGTTGATACCCAAAATTTTACAAGGTATCAGCCCGGTCCAGATCTAATAAATACGACTTCAAGTATAGTACGTAGACCCAAGTCACGGTTCAGGAACTTCTATGTGGGCCGTGGTTTGGCAGGCCAAGGAATGTGACCGGGCCCATTTTATCCGGCCCAATTAGATCCTTGGTCCACTTGGGTTGGTCTTGGGTCTATGAGGGAATTAGGATAACGTGGATTATGGAGGAAACCAGGGGAGGTAAAACCAATTATCCAAACTTATAGTTGTTGTTCGTGCAGTTTCAGGCCTTCATGAATGCTGTGCACTAGGATAACCCTTTAACCCAACATATCCTTTCCCTCCCTATTTTCTTCTTTTTTCTTCTAAAAAAATATATATATAATAAAGTATCTCTTCCCTAAAAAAACTATAAGGAGCCAGAATATACACAAATAAGAGAAGACAGCCTTTTGAGCGTGTGGCTGCCACCCTCTGAGCTCACCCAAAATGGCCACGGAGCCCCATTTTGCTACCCAACAACCTACTTGTTCACCTCTTTGGTAAACCTCCTTCTGTGATCAACGAAAGCGATCATTAAAGCATACTGGAAATGCCTTACCGACGAAGACTTTCGGGGGGGATTTCAGCCAAAGTTCAAAATGGTTGGAGGGAAAAAACTTCCCTCCCCTTACCACGTTCCTTGTCTATAAATACTGTTGTCCAAACCTCTTAAGAGGAGGGGATGGAAAATGAAAGGGAGGAAACACATGTCAAAAATCCCCTATTTTGGCTAATTTCCCTGGATTTTTGGTTTCCATAAGAGCGACCAACGGAGAATTCTATTCTCCATAACTTCCGGCGGAGTCCCTCTAGAACGAGTTTCCAGGCGTTCTCCCCATTGGAAGCGGTAACAAAAGCTCCCTGAAGCATCAAAATCCCTTAACCATGGCCTAACACCCCCCAAGACTGAGCTTTGATCCCTTTATACACTACGTCTGTCAGAGTCATTGCATTCACAAACAGAGAGATTCGACTCCGTTACCCACTTAGGAACCTCCTCCATAAACTGGTCACATTCCTCTCCCACACTATATGCTCATTGGAAGATCCCCATTAGAAATTCTTCGCTGTCCTGGAACTGAAGCCGCAACGGGTGTCGCCCTCAGATACCGTCATCCTCGGGGTCATCCGGGTTGAGCCTACCTCAGCCGGGGCCAATCTCATCCTCTCGACCACTATCGACGCCGGGAAGTCCCCTCAGTAGCTCTTCGACCACGTCAGTCGGCAAGAGCACAGTCATCACGAACCAAAAGAGGCCACGAGTCCTCTACCTTCCACGTCGATAGACCCTCGCCCAAAGAGCCCCAACATTTCGCGACTCCACTGGGGAAGCTAAACTAGGGCTTCTGAATGGCTCCTACAAAGAATAAGAAGATGAATACTACACTAGATGGGGACTCAAAGGGAACGGAGATGTCTATCTCGAATCACGAGGTCGGCGCCTCTGATGGAGCCGAGGCTTCAACTGCTGGCCTCACGGAAATAATCCACGAGATAGCTCGAACCCAGGGTACCCTTATGCATGAAGTGGTTGAATTGAAGAATGCTCTTACTCAACAGAACGCTCGGCCCACGCTGACGGCCGAAGCTGCACAGCAAGAAGCCTTGGTTTTCGAAGAAGCAAGGATTCAAGCATAGGCGGAAGTGAGGGAGGACTTCCTAACCCACACAGATGTGGTCTCCCTTCTTGAAAAGCACCTCTATAATACCTCTCCCGAAGACTTGGATTTTGTCCCTAGACCTCCTTATTTTCCCGAAGTGTGTCGCAAGCCGTACCCCAAGGGATACGAAACTCTGAGGTTCTCCCTTTTCGATGGCAGAAAAGTGAACCCCAAAGAACATATCAACCGCTTCTTAGATATGCTTGGACAGTACTCCATCGATAAGGATCTGAGGCTCCGAGAGTTTTTAAAATCACTCACTGATCGGGCCTATACTTGGTACACGGCCCTGGCTCCGGGGTCTGTTTGGTCATGGGAAGAAATGGCGAGTCGGTTCTGTCGGAAGTGTTTCCAGAACGAAGAAAGGATCACAACCATCACGTTAAGTAACACTCGGCACAAACAGGGGGACCACCTAGTAGATTACGTCCGTCGCTTCCGAGACCTTGTGTTGGACTGCTACAACGGAAGTAGCGAAGAGGAGCTGGTTGAAATATGTATCAACAACATTATCCTAGAATATAGAATGTATCTAGAAAATGTCAGGATTAAGCAATTCTCTAAGTTGCTCGAAGCCGCCAGAAGGACTTCTTCATCGGTAAAAATCACGTCGGGACCCCGTAACTGGAAGGAGAATAGGGAAGTACCCCACTCGCTAGCCATATCAGATAGACTGCCACGAGATTATCCTCGGGAGAGGAGGGAAAGGTATAGAGAAAGACCGGAGTAGCCACCCATTCCTTGTACGGGCGCAGAATTTCATGCTATCATCGACCAGTGGATCCAAGATGGGGTAGTCCGCCTTTTTACACCGCGAAAGCAGCCAACGATGGATGATAAAAAACATCCGAGATACTACTGACTTCACCAATACATCAATCACCCCACAACGGAATGTCAAATCCTTTGAAAGATTTTTCATGCCAAAATCAATAATGGCACTTTTGAGCTTCCGTCTAAGAAATAGACAATCGACCTAGACCCATTACCTCGCCACCAGGTCAAAGAAACTTGCGCCATGTTGTTATGCTCGAAAAAAATAAGGGGAAGGGGAATCCAAATGAAGAAACACGAGCGTGGCAAGCAGACCCAAAGCCGCCCAAAGGGGTATGGGAGGCGTAAGGGAAAAATGAACGGGCCTTTTGGTGTACTTACAGTCAACCGGAGCATTACGACACACCCCTCCCGGCACCAAGCGGTTGGGGGGACGGCTTCGAGCCAGAAAAGGGAGGATTGAAAGAGGTTTCAGTATGGACTGAAACTCTAAGGCCCGAGCCTGCAGAGGGTGTTATGCCCGGCACGGACGCACCACCATCCGGGAGTGGCATGCACATTTTAAGGATACATGAGCTATTGGGACATCACCGAAAGGCTAAGGAGGGGGATGACGAGGGAAACATGCTCGCAAGACAACAGGAGGAGGGGACAGCCTTCGAATGCGCGTTCGATAGGCTGACGGGGACCATGCTCGAGCCTTCTGTAGCCTCACCGTGAAGAAGCTACGGACCGAGCTTTTCACAAAGGAACTTCGTCTAGCTAAAAGATGGATGCGGCCAAACGCGGCTTATGTGAATTTGATAGAGTCAGAAATAACGAAATTTACCATCTCGGTGATGACGGATAGCGATTCAGATGAATCATCTGAAGTATCCTCACATGTGTCGGCCAACGAGAGGCGAGCATGCAAGAGAAAAATACCGGTGAGGGAGACGGTAGCCGTTATAGGCTTCCCTAACAAAGGGGGGGCCAAAGAGAGGAGAGTTTAGCCGTTATAGGCTTCCATAACAAGGGGCGGCCAAATGAGCTGACCCCCGATACAACCCCTGGCGACCACGGCCTTGGCGCAAGAACAGCAGACGTGGACTCGTCCGACACAGGGTTGGCTAATACTGACCATATAGGTACCACGAAGCATTCCAGTGCAGATACATGTTGTTCGAAAGTGGCCACACCCGATACGAGACGGTCATATATCATGTCTCCAAAGCTGGCCATGATCCCCGCGGGAATGGGCGGTCCAAAGAAACACCCATGGACACGCAACGAAGAGAGATCAATCGTCATGGAATGGTAGGCACACCGGAAAGACTTGCATACTTAATACAATGGCAAGGGGATGTGGCAGGGAACAGTGGGCTGAAGAATTTGTGCCCAGACGAGGACACGTCGAAAGAGGAAAGCTCGCATAAGGCTTTTAAAAGAGCTGCGGGAAGAACAAGCACAAGAATAGCGTGGCATGGGCCTCTCATTCAGAGGTTTGAGGAGGAACGTGAACCCACAAATATCCTTGGTCTCGACGAACACGGAACTGATTTTGGGATGTTTCAAGGCTTAGTGGTGATCCGTCGGAAGGAGCATCCCAATTTCAGAAGTATCTGTGTTACTCCGAAAGCAGTTTGGATAGCATGAGTGAGCTCATGAGCCCTTCTAAGGTAAACAGGTTAATAGAAG